CTGCTAGTGGTGGTGGTTCTGACTCACAGCGACCCTGCATAGGGTTTCTGAGGCTGTAAATCTTTATGGGAGCAGAAAGCCTCGTCTTTCTCCCATGTAACAGCTGGTAGTTTCGAATTGCTGACCATGAGATTAGCAGCCCTATTGGTAACCACTACGCTATCAGAGTTCCTTTTTCTACAACCTAGTATTGTAAAATAGGCATATATATGTGATTAAATCAGAACTTGTAAGCCTGCCTTCAGCCTATACTTAATTGTCTTGTTGTTAAGTGCCACAGATACTTGATTAGATAAGCTTAAAATGGGAATACGAGTTGCCCTGAAAGAACAAGTTCTATTTAAAGCCAGTAGCCTGTGTATAGGGGGGTGGGGGTGGTCATCAAGTCCAGTCAGTTCTAATAGCGACTCTTCACAGGCTTTCCCAGGCTGTACATCTTTACAGGAGCAGAAAGCCTCATCTTTCTCCCATGGAATGACTGGTAGTTTCGAACTGCTGACCTTGAAGTTAACAGCCCAGTTTGTAACCACTAATCTACCAGAGCTCCTTGTGTATAGACTATTGGAGCATAAGTAGAAAACCTGAAAAGATATGCAGACACACTAAGAACTGCTGAGTAAACAGGAAATCTACCTTTAAAGGAAAGACCTGCGGTGTGTGGGGGGGGTGATTGTTTTTAAAAAATCATGATTTATTATTTTGAGCTTTTGAGCTTTCATTGAAGCAGAAAAGTCTGTGCCCATCAGAGAAAAGCTTATTCTAGGACTGAAGGTTAAAGGGACCCAGTGAGCAGACAGTCTGCTCTGCTCATTGGTGCCATTTGCTATGAATAGATGTGGGGGAAATGCAGAGAGAGGAGAGGAAGGGCTGATTGGACTGAAGTTTAGTGAGCTGTGTGGCCTCCTGAGCCTGTGGGTACCAACCTAGCCCATGGAGGCTAGGGCTGAGAGAGAACAAGAGCGAAAGGGGACCAGCTTGTCTGAAGTGCAGGGAAGTGTGTGTGGACTCCCAAGTTTGCAGCTGGTACCCATTCTACCTAATTAGATGGCTAGGGCTGAATTGATCAGAACCTGACTAAATGAAAAGAGTGATGTTTGATTTTGTGGAATGGACTTTGATTGTGGATACAGGTGCTCAAAGTTCCAACCAGAAGGAAGATTCTTCACATAAGAGAACATGCTTGTTTCCTCAGAGTACTGAGTTAATCTCTTGTTGTTAAGTGCCCCTGAGTCGGTTCCAATTCATAGCAACCCTGTATAGGGTTTCCAAGGAGTGGCTGATGAGTTTGAACTACCAATCTTTTGGTTAGTAGTCCAGTGCTTATCCTACAGCACCATACCAGGACTCCACTGGGTTGATAGGGATGGGCAATTTAGAAATTGGATATCTAACTCAGGAGTGTAGATAAAGGCATGAAGGACTTCTGTATAAGCTTTCATGAATGTACTTGTTGTTTTGGTGTGGACTCATAGCGATCCTATGCACAACAGAACAAAACACTGTCTGGTCCTGGGCCAACCTTTCAATTGTTGCCACGCTTGAGTCCATTGATGCTGCCACTTTGGCAATCCATCTCACTGAGGGTCTTCCTCTTTTTCTCTGACCCTCCACCTTACCAAACATGATACTTTATTCAGTGACTGGTCCCTCTTGACAATATGTCAGAAGTATGAGAGACAAAGTCTGGCCATCCTGGCCTCCAAGGAGCACTCTGGCAGCACTTCTTCCAATATGGATCTGTTTGTTCTTTTGGCAGCCCATGGTACTTTCAATATTCTCCTCCAACACCATAATTCATATGCACCCATTCTTCTTCTACTATCCTCTTTATTTACTGTCCAACTTTTGCATGCATATGAGGTTATCGAGAATACCATGGCTTGGGTCAGGAGCACCTTAGTCCTCAAGCTGACATCTTTGCTCTTCAACACTTTCAAAAGGTCTTGTGCAGCAGATTTGCCTAATGCAGTACATCGTCTGATTTCTTGACTGCTGCTTTCGTGAGTGTTGATAGTTGATCCAAGAAGAATGAAGTCCTTGACAACTTCAATCTTTTCTCCGTTGATAAGAATGTTGTTTTATTGGTACAGTGGTGAGGATTGCTTAGTTAAAATTATTTGGGAAAGTTAATCCTTCAAGTATGAAAAGCCCAGTGGCTAGCCGAGCTAGGTGGTGCCCTGCAGTGAATAATTTCATATGGTTTCTCTACCCATAGTCTTCATAACTCCCACCAAACAACTTTTCTTTTTTTTTTTTCCTTGATGGGTATAGATAAAAGAAAATGGGAGAAGATACTGATAGGATGATATGATTCAGTTGTGAATAATTGTTAACAGGGCTAATTATGATTGTAAAAACTTGGAAATCCAATGATGTGATTGTTCAATTTAGCTGTCCTGCTGGTTTTTAAATTAATCATCTCAGGAAGGAGGAATCTCACTACCTTCAAAGAAGAAGCTCCAAGAGTGGAGAGTGTTCTTTGGGCATGGAGATCCCTTAACATTGAACTTCCTGGACCCTGGAGACAGCTGAGGACCCAGATGAGTGGTACCAGCAGAAACAAGATCCAGAGCATAAGACAGAGCAGTGGGCTTCGTGGCCCAAGGAACAAATAAACCTGAGTGCCTCTGAGCAGCAGACTCACTTGTGGAGTGGGGTGCCTCCAGGCATATAACTGGGGTGCTACGTTTGTTGACTTCCAGATTTAGAGCTATACACCTTCAAGCTGAGGCTTATAGTAGAGTGGAGTTTCCTTTTGGAGAAACTTTTCAGTCATGCTAAAAGAGCTTAAGGAGCTCTGGTAGCGTAGTGGTTACAAATCGGACTGCGAACCACAAGGTCAGCCGTTCGAGAAACTACCAGCTGTTCCACAGGAGACAGATGAGGCTTTCTGCTCCCATAAAGATTTACAGCCTTGGAAATCCTGTACAGGGTCGCTATGAGTTGGAACCGACTCCACGGCACATCACCAACACCACCACCAAAAGAGCTTGGTATAGTTGCTGGAGCAGGGCAGAGGTCTAGGGGCTGGTGGCTGAGAGATCAAGGACCAGAGAGAAGCCTGCCTGTGAGCCTAGCTGGGCAGAGGCTGTCCTGACTGAATCAACTATGCCCTGAACATTTCTAATCCTGAATTGTAACCTGTTAACTTCTCTCATAAATCCCCTAACTGTAAGTATAGTTGGCTGAGTTCTGTGTGGCAATTGCAATGCATTCTCAAGCCCAGTTGAGTAGAGTCCTTTTGAAAGGATGGTTGATATCAGATTTGGTGAAGATTGGAGGGTGGAGGCAGGTAAGAGGAGATCCAACAGCAGCCCCATGCCCATTACAATCGTGTAATAGAGGAAGTGAGTAACTCCAACTCTGAAGGGTTTCCTAGAGAAAGTAATGATTTAGAGTAAGTTCAGGATCTTGTTTATGTCTAAGCTGCTTTATTATTGTGGGTCACCCCCATCCAAAGCACACAAATTTGTGGCTGTTAACAGGTCTCATGTGGGTTAATGCACCAGACTGCAAAGCCATTTGAACTGCAAGGTCTGCGGTTCTAGCTCACCAGCTGCTCCTCGGAAACCCTATACAGAGTAGCTATGGGCCAGAAACCACTTGACCCATACTTAACAACAACAGGTCTTGCACATGTCTATCCTAAGTACTGGCACAGTTGTTGTTGTTACGTGCCATGGAGTCGGTTCCGACTCATAGTGATCCTGCACAGGGTTTCCAAGGCTGTTAATCTTTACGGGTGCAGAAAGCCTCATCTTTCTCCCGCGGAACAGCTGGTAGTTTCCAACTGCTGACTGTGAGGTCAGCAGCCCGATTCGTAACCACTACGCTACCAGAGCTCGGGAGGAGAGGGCAATGTTGGTCAAATCAGCTGGTCTGAGCAATGAAGCGCTGTCAAGGTCTCAGAATTAAACCTCTTTTCATGCTCAGTCTGTTTCTCCTTCCCCACCCCCTCTTCCTTCCACTGGTGAGGTCTAAGGTGGAGTTTGACCTTTTACATGGGAGACTGGGGTTTGATTACCAGCCACTGCAGTTCACTCACAGCCTCTAGCCGTTTGCCAGTGGAAACGCGTGTTGCTACGATGTTGGACAGATTTCAGTAGCGCTTACAGATTAAGACTGACTAGGAAGAAGGGCCTAGCAATTGACTTCTGAAAATCAGTCAATGAAAACCTTATGGATCACAACAATATGATCTCCAGCAGATTATGGAGACGGCACAGGACCCACAGTCTTCCAATTTAACGGCAGCTAACAACAACGCAACAATAGCGGAACTACTTTAATGCTGGAAATTCCTAATCGTAAACATTTGTTGCCTCTCTGTTCCGCTCCTCCTGGAGGCGAGGTCTGACCTAGAGATGGACACAGAACAGGCTCTCAAAACATTTGTTGAATAAGTGAGTGAATGAATGAGTTCAAGCATAAGGGATTCCAGTTGAATTAGGCCAAACATCCCTTCTGCTGGTCGTCTAAGTGAGAGGAGTGGGATTTGAAAGTAACTGGCACGCTGACAGTCAGATGTGGCTGGGGTTTAGGAGGTTGGCCTGAGGATTCAGAAAGGACAGTTTCTGGTGGCCTGGTCTGTGGGTCTGAGGTCTTGTAGGGGCTGCAGACCTGGAGATTTGGGTAAGTGACCTTAGAAGGGAGACTCAGATGTAAAGGTCTTATGGAGACATCTCCAGGATGGGGTGTGTGGAACGGGGGTGGGGCTATCACTTCTAGGACTGTGCCTGTCTGGCCTGGGGGCGGGGAGTGTGCACACTCTTGGCACCGCCCTGACAAAGCCTGCGCGCGCCCCATCCTGCAATTGGCTGCGCTGCACCACACTGCCTCCCCGTCCCGCCCCCCGCCACCGGTCCGGCGCACCGCAGCCAATGGATGTTGTTGTTTCCTCTTCCGTCACAACCCAGACAGCCAATGGTGACGGTGCTGTGCGGCTCGTGGCTCTTTCGCGGCAAAAAGGATTTGGCGCGTAAAAGTGGCTGGGACTTTGCAGGCAGCGGCGGCCGGGGGCGGAGTGGGATCCGGAGACGGATCGAGCCCTCACCACGGCCCGCCACCATGGGCCCGCGCCGCCGCCTGCCACCCGGGCCGCACGGGCCGTGAGCGCCATGGCCGTGGCTCCCGCGGGCGGCCCATGCGCGCCGGCGCTGGAGGCCCTGCTCGGGGCGGGCGCGCTGCGGCTGCTCGACTCCTCGCAGATCGTCATCATCTCCACAGCGCAGGACGCCAGCGCCCCGCCAGCCCCTGCTGCGCCCTCCACTGGACCCAATGATGCCGACCTGCTGCTCTTCGCTACACCGCAGGCGCCCCGACCCTCACCCAGCGCTCCGCGCCCAGCGCTCGGCCGTCCTCCGGTACTGACCCCAGGGACACCGGGCCCAGCGCATTGCCTGGTCTCCCCGCACCGACACGGGCGGGGCTCAATGTTGGGTCCGGCGGCTGGGAGGCCCCGGGGAGGGGTGGATTGAGGCGCCCGCTCTGGGCGGTACAGAGCCTGGGTTGGGCCTCCAGGCCCCTCCCCGGGGTGCTGGGTGACCCTGGGCCAGCCCTTGTGTGCTCCTTTAGGCTCCGGGCCTCCGCTTCCTCGCCATAGCCACTTGGGTCAGCCACCAGGTTGGACTCTGGGATAATAGTGGCCCACGTGGATTCAACCGGCACTTTGGCTGAGCCCTTGGCCCACTTCAAGCGCAACTCACAATCACTTTGTGAGCTTCGTGTTGTCACTGTGCCCATCTAACAGAAGAGGAACTGAGGCCCAAAGAGGGGAAGGGACTTGTCTCTGGTCATTGAAGGGCTGGGATTTGAACCACGGCCTGCTGGCTCCCGACTGGAATTTGGGGCTGTGTAGGGGTTGGTGGTGGAGATGGTCCTGAGCCCTGGACTGTTGGAAAGCTATTGAAGAGACCCTATTTCCTGCCTGCACGCTGTACTGCCAGGTGCAGGCCTGGCCCTCCAGGCCCCTGGGGACAGGCCGCCTGGCTGGGAGGCCTTCTCTGCAGGGGTGGGGCAAGATGCCTGGGCCAGCTGCTGATCCCCTCCCTCTGCCTGTCCTTCCATCTGCCACCCTCCCGGGCCTTGGTTGCCATAGAATCTCATTAATCAGGCAGGCCCCTGTGGAAGACCTGGGTGGGCTGGGCTTCTGGGAGCTGGAGGCAAGACCCCCAGTGCCAGGGGAGAGAAAACATCTCAGGGAGATCATCTGATAAGGGCTTCCTGAGCCTGAGCAACTGAGGGTCAAGACCAGTTCAGACTGAGGGCCCAGAGGCTACAGCTTAATTATAGTGGGAGAGAAGAGTGGAGGCCTAAAGGATTGGCTGTAGGCCTCGGGACAAGGCGTGGAGACCAGTTTAACTGGCACAGCCTGTAGGTGAAGATGGGACACAGGCAGGCAGGGGTCTCCGTTGGGGGCATAGAGCAAGCGGGAGGGGTGAGGCAGGGCCTTGGGCAAGAAGGTGGAAGCTGCCCAACTGCCAGTGGGAACGTGGGTGGCAGCTGGTCGTCCCTGCAGCATCCCCAGAAAGCTCCCCAACCCCCTTGGCCCTATGCCCAGTGCTGCCTTCCTTCCGGAATCACCAAGATGCTAATAATAATAACAATAGCAGCCACTATTGTTGGGAGAGTGTTTTGTGTATAGGGCACTGTGCCAAGCCCTTTATCCAAATTAACCCATTTAACCCTCTCAACAATCGCCCCCTTTTACAGATGGGGAAATTGAGGTACAGAGATGATAGCTAGTATAAGTGGTGAGAAGGTGGACTCTCCAGTTCAAGCTGGGATGTCTTGGAAATGTTAATAGAGGTTGACTAAAGCCTTGGGAGCTATTAAGGACCCTGCCTCCTGCTGAGTGAATGGGAGGGGTGATTGCTGGCCAGGATTGGTCTGACTGTGAGGGAACCAGCTTAGGGCCTGGACAATGGGTTTTCCATGTAGCTGACAAGCACTCAGCAGGCCCAGGGCTCCAGAGACAGAGCAGAGGTTGGGGGCTTCAGGGCCCTGAGTAACTGCTAAGGACTGGGAGAAGGACAGATACTCACCTTCCCATTAGAGGGTCTGAGTAGTCCATTCATTCAACAGCTGGTGAGTTAGTGAGCATCCATGAGATGCTAGGTGCAGGCAAGTAAGGAACCCCTGCCCTTGGGTGCTTAAGGGCCAGTGGGCATTTTTGTAATGGGGTTGGAGTTGGCACCATTCTGAAACCGAAGTGGAGAAATGGAGGTCCAGCTGTTGCCCTCCAGCATCCTCGCCTCATACACTGATGGGCACATGTGCCCTCACCTACCCTCTGCACTGGCATTTATTGGGGCAGTCCCTGAATCAAGCTCACCTTCTGCACTCATATTTATTGAGCACCTGTTGTACATAAGGAGTCCTGGTGTGGCACTGTGGGCTAATGCATCAGACTGCAAAGCCATTTGAACTGCAAGGTCGGTGGTTCAAATTCACTTGGAAACTCTATACAGGGTCGCTATGGGTCGGAATTGACTCAACGGCACTTAATAATTGCATAAAAACCCACTACTCTTGAGCACTGCAACTCATAGCAACCCTGTATAGGATTTGTTGTTGTTGTTATGTGCCGTGGAGTTGGTTCCGACTCATAGCGACTCTGTACAGGGTTTCCGAGGCTGTAAATCTTTCCGGGAGCAGAAAGCTTCATCTTTCTCCCGTGGAACAGCTGGTAGTTTCAAACTGCTGACCTTTAAGGTTTGCAGCCCGATTCGTAACCACTATGCTCCCAGAGTTACAAGTTTGTAAATCTTTAAGAAAGCAGATAGCCTCAGCTTTCTCCCGTGAAGTGGCTGCTAGGTTTGAACCGTTGACCTACTCCTAACCCACAGTGCCACCAGGACTGCAATTCAGCCATTTCTCCTGGCCTTTCCTATCCATCCTCACCTTGTTGTGGCCATTAAAAAAAAAAAAAAGTTTCTTTGATTATAGAACTTTAGAAAACTTAAGAGTTAAAGAAATACAAAGTTCAAAGGGGTAAGATCCGAGCTCATCCACTAAAAATATATGCGGTCTTTTGGTTGTTTTCTTTTCCTAAGCCTGTTCTTGCTTTTTGTAATGATGAGAGTTAGCTTTCATTTTCTAAAACTTTAGAGAAAATTTCATTTCATCTTTTCACCTTTATTTCCTTGTTCGAACATTTTATCATTCACACTGTATAGATCAGCCACCTCTGCAGAGGTAACATTTGAAATGGTTTGGTGTATAATTAGTCGACAGTGAGTCCAGAGAAAGAGAGTTTTCTATTGTATATGTATTGTTTCAGTACCAAAAAGATCATATAAATGCATGGCAATATGACAAATGTGTTTGTCTAAGACATTACTTGCAAGCAAACACATTAGAGGAGTCATGATGTGGTGCTGTGGGTTAATGCGCTAGACTGCAAAGCTGTTTGAACTGTAAGGTTGGTGGTTCAAGCTCACCAGCTGCTCCTTGGAAACCCTATACAGGGTCGCTGTGGGTCAGAATCAACTTGGTGGCACTTAACAACAACAAATTAGAGAGTCTGTTGATTTGCTTTGGACCGTTGTGACCACTGCATGGTATTTCAGGGGCTGAACAAATCACAATTTCTGTGGCCTTCTCCTATGGGTAGGTTGCTGAGGTTTTTCACCATTGAGTATCTTTGTCTTCCATATCAGGGCCTCTGTACCAGGTTTTTCTAGAGAGAAACATCTGCCTATGCTCTTGTGTGGCATCTGGATGGGCAAAAGCCTGGGTACCAGGGAGAAGAGTTGTTAGGAGCATGCTTGGATTCATACTGGATGGGGTAAACTTTGGTTGTCCCAACATTTGGCCTGGGCTCTGGGGAGGCAGGACATGGGTATAGATGTGGGCTCTGTGTCATCCTGTCAGAGTTGGTCGTGTCTCCACCTCTCATTGGCTTCGTGGCTTCCCTTGCATTGCAGGTTCCTCTGGAAGTGGAGGTTTTCATGACTCAGGACGGCTCCGTGTGTGTCTGAGTAGAACTGGGTTTCCTAGGGTTTTCACTGACTAAGTTCGTCAGAGTAGATTGTAGGACTTCCTTCTGAGGGGTCTCTGGAGAGACTTAAATTGCCAACCTTTCAGTTAACCCAGAACAGAAGACTGAAGAAGAACTGATACTTTGAATTACGGTGTAGATGACGAATATTGGACCACCAGAAGAATGAACAACTGTCTTGGAAGAATACAGTCAGAATGCTCCTTAGAAGCTAGACTGGCATACTTTGCACATGCTATCAGGAGGGACCAGTCCCTGGAGAAGGATATCATGCTTGGTAAAATAGAGAGTCTGCAAAAAAATAAGAAAGCCCTCGGTAGCTGGTTTGACACATTAGCTGCAACAGTGGGCTTAACCCCAGCAAGGGTTGTGAGGATGGTGCACGACTGGGCGGTGTTTGTCCTGTTGTACGTAGGGCTGCTGTGAGTCAGAACTGACTCGACAATACCTAACAACAGCAGCACAACCACTCAGGGGCTCCAGAGGTTGTCCGAGGGTTTGCTGAGAAAATTACTAAGCTCAGCAGACAGAAGGCACTGAGCACTTCGTCTTGTATTCTCCAGGATGCCTGAGCACATCATGAAGGTCATGGACTACCAACCTGTGGGGACCTTCATTCAGCAAGCATTTGTTGATGCCCAGGCTTCTCTGCCAGACACTGGGTACAGAAATGGCTTATGGGTGAACCGCATGTCTGCAATAATTCATAGAGAATGTGGGGGAAGGTTGGGTTTGAGAGATAAGTGGTGGCATCTCTGTTACAGGATCAGAAAGACTTTAGTGACCAGTAAAATTTCTATCCTTAGAGGTGAGGTGAGAGCAGAAGGCCAATGGAAGACCTTAATTAGGGGCAATGACGTGGGAAGAATTGGGTTTTAGGACAAAGACGAGCTGCAGTGGAGGGGGCCAGATGGTGGCAGTGGGACCACTGGAGGGGAGACTGTGGAGTGGTCCAAGTGGGAGGTGTGGTGTAGCTCTCCTGGTAACTGGATGTGATAAGGGTGGTGGGTAGGGCTGGGCCATGGTTCTGGCTCTGGAAATCCTGTGGATTGTGGAAGGGAGGGTTAAGACTGATTTGAGTCAGGGCACTTTTGTGATGCCTGTGGGACTTGTAGGACAATCTTGATCCTTGTATGTATAAACTAGGTCAGAAGACGTAGGAATTAAGAGCTTGGGCTCTTCATTATACAGTTCTGGGTGGGAATCCCTGAGCCTCTCTGGGCTTCCATTGCCTTGCTTGTAAAATAGACCCAGTGTTGTATACTCTTGTTAGTGCTGTTCAATCAGTTCCCTCATCAAAACCTCTAGCCCACTAGAGGCTGAAACCTCTGGAACCCTCCCCCCAGGTGGTTGGGCTGTTGTTAGGTGCCATCGTGTTGGCTCTGGCTCATGCACTGCCCGGTCCTTGGTATGTTTGAGCACATTGTTGCAGCCACTGTGTCAATCCATCTGGATAAGAATTTTCCTCTTTATGACTTGCCCTCAATTTTACCAAACACAATGTTCTTCAGGGAATGAATGATCCCATGTCCAAAGTACTTGAGGAGATAAAGTCTCGTTACCCCCTTTTCTAAGGAGCATTGTGGTTGTACTTCTTCCAGAATAGATTTGTGCATTCTTCCAGCAGTCTGTGGTATGCTCAGTATTCTTCATCAATTCCATAATTCAGAAACATCAATTCCTTGGTTTTCCTCTCATTGTCCAGCTTTCACATGCATATGAAGCAAGTGAAAATACCATGGTTTGGGTCAGGCGTGCCTTAGCCCTCAAAGTGACATCTTTGCTTTGTAACACTTTGAAGAGGTCTTTTGCAGTAGATTTGCGTACTACACTATATGTCACGTGTTTTTTTGATTGCTGCTTCCTTACATATTGATTGTGGACCCAAGTAAAATGAAATCCTTGACAATTTGTGTTTTCTCCATTTATTATGATGTTTATTGGTCTAGTTGTGAGAAGGTTTTGTTGTCTTTATGTTGAGGTGTAATCCTTACTGAAGTAAATAATGAATACAAAGTATTTGCTGAGCAGATTCAGTAACTTCAACAACAAATACAGCACCTAGTGACTGAGGTCAGGAATTCAGGAGCCTCTTCTCTGGGCTGTGTGTTACAACATGGCAGCTGACTTTCCTCCCTAGTGAGAGATCCAACATAGGGAACAAGGAGGAAACTCCAGAGCCCCCTATAGCCTAGTCTTACCACATTCATTCACTGAAAGCAAGTTTTTATTAAGTCTGGTCCATATTTAAAGGGAGAAGAATTGGTCTCCATCTGTTTAAGGCAGGAGAATCAAAAGGATTTGTAAGTACATTTTTAAATCACCACAGGCCCCCGGTAAGATAGTTGTAGAACCTGGTCTTGCACTTCTAGTTGAGTGTTCTATCTTGTGAGGTATGGTTGAGGCTCCCAGGCTATATCCCCTTGGACCTCCCTGTCCCACATTTAGCATCCTGGTAGAAGAACTGAGGCAGGGCAGCTCAGGGGCACCAGCCAACTCTTGTGGACTCTTCTTGTGGTTGCATCTTCCATTGTTTTGCTATAGGTGAAGCGGAGGCTGGACCTGGAAACTGACCATCAGTACCTGGCCGAGAGCAGTGGGACAGGCCGGGGCAGGGGCCGCCACCCAGGGAAAGGTATCCATTAAGCTTGGGTTGGAGCAGGCCCCAGTGGGTAGGCCCAGGTCGGGGGTATGGACAAACATACTTACAGACTCAACCGGTCTGCTGGGCTTGAGCCCAGGAAGAGAGCTGAAGTGGACACCTGGCATGGTTTGCCCAGGGTCCTAGAGGGTTAGAAGTACCCAGACCCAGAGAGGAATGCTGTGGTTGGCAGCAGCTTGGTCTGGCCAAGGGGAAGAAGCCACCTGTCCCGCATCATCCTTCTGCTCTGCATTGCCTGAGGCAACCTGGCTGGGGGCAGGGGTGAGAGAGGAATCACCCTGCTTTTCCTTACCACCACTACCACCTCCAGGTGTGAAATCTCCGGGGGAGAAGTCGCGCTATGAGACATCACTGAATCTGACCACCAAACGCTTCCTAGACCTGCTGAACCGCTCAGCTGATGGTGTTGTCGACCTGAACTGGGCAGCTGAAGAACTGAAGGTGCAGAAGCGACGCATCTATGACATCACCAATGTCCTTGAGGGCATCCATCTCATCTCCAAGAAGTCGAAGAACCACATCCAGTGGCTGTAGGTACCAGCTGACCAGGAGGGTGGGCACAGGCCTCTGCATGCCAACTGCCTAAAGAGCTCACTCAGTGCACTTTTACATTTTGCGGGGGTACCTTGGTAACCACCATCTGGATCAAGATGGAATATTTCCAGAACCCCTAGAAAGTTCCTGTGTCCCTTCTCAGACTTGCCAACCCTCCATAATGCCTGGTGTCCACTTGGCTTCTAGTGCTTAGTAAGGTTTATCTAACATAGTTGTTTCCTTCTTCTGGATTCCTGTTTGATTTTCCTCCCACCCCTCAGCCATTCTGTGCTTCTTTCTCATCTGCTTGTTCACTTGGTAGATCCTTCATTCTGCAGCATTGCTGTCACTCGGCAAGCTGTCTTGCAGATGCTTGTCCTTTGTAACAGTTGCATAGTATTCCATAGCATCTGTGTTCTCCTTTTCTTATCCAGCCTCCTGTGGGCAACATGTGGATGCTCCCAGGCATTCAGGCCAAGATTTAAGCCTAGGCCATTCTGACTTGGACCCAGAGTGGGGCAAGGGCTTACCTGGGACTCATAGAACGGTGGTAGTGGTAGCAACAGTGGCAGCAGCTGATTCAGGGCTCTAGGCAGAGGGATCAGGAGCTGCTAATCCTCCCTGTGGGCTCCCTGCAGGGGCAGCCAAACATCTGGGGGCACCAGCAGGCAACTTGAAGCACTGAGCCAGGACCTCCGGCACCTGGAGGAGAACGAGCAGCAGCTGGATCAGTTGATCCATGCTTGTACCACACAGCTGCAGCTCCTTGCTGCAGACACTGACAGCCAGCGATATCCTTGGGCTGGAGAGCACGGAGAACAGGACCGGCAGGTGGGGGCCCACCTCGATGGGCCTGGAGAGGCCTCCTGGGGCACGGATCCAACAGAGGGTTCTGACTTTGGAGCCAAGTCATGGCTCGGCCATTTAATCATGGTGTGACGCAGGTTAAATGATTTTGCCTGTCTGGGCCTCAGCTTCGTCTGTAAACAGGAGATAATAATATCCAGTTCTGAAATGATTAAAGCAAGAAAAGCTAATACCAGCAATTGTTCTCATTGACTCCAGCTCATAGTGGCCTCCCATATGCAGAGCAGAATGGCTCCATAGGGCTTTCACCACTGGCCTTCCAAAGCAAAATGCCAGGCCTCTGTCCCTGAACAGGTTTGAACCACCAACTTCTGGATTGATAGTCCGGCACTTAACTATTTGTGCCACCCAAGGAGACTTATAGTACCAACAATACTGAACATTTATTTAATACATTAAGTCAACGTTTAGTTGTAGCTTCAAGTTTAGAGACATTAGTTTTTGTCTTTTATTCACCAATATAAGCGCTTTATTAAAACAGACTTTTTTTCTAGTTGATGTTCAAATTGCATTTATAAATTTTCAATACAACAGCGAATTGAAACTAAGATCATAGGTCAAGATAAATTCCCAGCACTAGGTTGAAGATGGTTAAATATTTACATGGTAGCTAGGGTCCCTACCTTGTGCTTAGACAGGTAGGATGATTTTGGTGTATATATGTGGAAACTGAGACTCAAGCCGTAAGGTAGGGTCTCTGTGCCAGGTCCTGGGGTGGGTGGACCCCAGAGCACAAAGGTCATACATATCCTTGACTCCACCAACCCTGGCCTACGTGACCTGCCAGGACCTGCGCAGCATTGCCGATCCTGCGGAGCAAATGGTCATGGTGATCAAAGCCCCCCCTGAGACCCAACTCCAAGCCTCGGACTCCTCGCAGGTAAGGCTGGCACACTTCAGGCCTGTTCGGGACAGGCTGGGCTAGTGGCCAACCGAGCCTCAGTTTATCCTGCCTGCTTTTTCCCACCAAGACCTTTCAGATCTACCTTAAGAGCAAACAAGGCCCCATCGATGTTTTCCTATGCCCCGAGGAGAGCTCAGATGGGACCAGCCCTGGAAAGACCCCAACCCAGGAGATGGCTTCTCTTATCGAGGAGGACACAGTGGCTGTTCCTGCCACCACAGTATCACCGCCGTCACCTCCTTCCTCCCCCTCTGCCACAGAACCTGACCAGCCACTGCTCAGTCTGGAGCAAGGTGAGTGAAGGGCCCCCCCTCTTGGATGGGTGGGTGGGCAGGCATGGTGGCTCCTTCTGTCTTCCTTGAGGGTATTCTCCAGCTGTGATGCCCTCCTGTCTCTCCAGAACCACTGCTGCCCCGGATGGGTGGCCTACGGGCCCCTGTGGATGAGAACCGCCTGTCCCCGCTGGTGGCAGCTGACTCGCTCTTGGAACAAGTGCGAGAGGACTTCTCCAGCCTCCTTCCTGAGGAGTTCATCAACCTGTCCCCTCCTCATGAGGCTCCTGATTACCAGTTTAGCCTCGAGGGCCAGGGCATCAGAGACCTCTTTGACTGTGACTTTGGGGACCTCACCCCCCTGGATTTTTGATGGGGCTCAGGGAGGCCAGGGCCTCCCATGGTACCCACTCTATCTCTGCAGCCCCGGAGCCCTTTGCCCCTGGCCATCCTCCAGCCGAATTGGAAACATTTAATTTATATCACCTTCCCCTAGCTCCAGCGCTCTGGTGGCACAGGGGTTAAAGCGCTTGGCCATGAACTGGTAGGTGGTTTCAACCCACCGGTTGCTTTGCGGGAGAAAGATGTGGCAGTCTGCTTTCTTAAAGATTTACTGCCTTGGGAATCCTGTGGGCAGTTCTATTGTCTTGTAAGGTCACTATGAGTCGGAATCGACTTTGACAGCGGTAGGTTTGGTTTGTTTTTTGTTTGGTTTGGTTATTGGGTTTCCTCTATCCAGAAGCTTCTAGCTCTGGAGTCTGGCTGCTACCAAGAGGCTATAAGTAAGCCAGAAGGAGTGGATCCTGTGTTTGTGGTGCGTACATGCATGCACCCAACACATGTGTACATGGGTGAGTGTAGTGTGTACCTCTGGCACCAATGCCAGGTAAGCACATTTATGTGAGAGGGTGTGTGAGAGGGTGTGTGCATGTACCGGGGAATGAAGGTGAACACAGGGGTGGGTACACCGAAAACGCACCCCATTGTGTCCACATGTGTGTGCATGGTGGGGGCTCTAACTGCACTTTTGGTCTCCTTGCTCCAGGGCCTCATGAGGCCCTGGGTGGCCACTTGCCCCCTGCAGTCTGCACACGGACCAAGCTAGGCGGGGAAGCCTCACCCAGTTTGGTTTGCAGGCCAGCAAGAGCACTTCTGTCGTCTTAAAAGGTTTTTCTGACTCGAAGCTTTAATGGAGCATTATTTATTTACGGAGGCCTCTTTGGCAAGCCCGGGGCACCAGCAAAGGGTAGGAGGAATGTGGGGCCAGGGCCCCCACTCCCTATACCCCTGAGCGAGGACAGGGGTCCCTGAGCTGTTCTTTTGCCCCACCCCGAAGGAGCTGAGGCCTGAACGATTTATTTATTGGGAAAGTGAGGGAGGAAGACAGACTAACTGACAGCTGTGGGTGGATGAAGGGGGGTGGTCCTTCCGCAGTGGTGGGGGGTGGTCACTGTAGGGCTTAGTGACCACCCCTCTACATGGATGTGAGATGGGAGCGGTAATAGGGACCTTCACTAACAAGGTGGGCTAGTGAGGTGGGTGGAGGGCCTCCCCAGCCCAGATGCAGAACCCCCTTCTGTGGCCCTTCCCCACTTATTGCTGTGCCCCACCCCCCAATCTGCACTTTGATTTGCCTTCCTAACAGCTCTGTTCCCTCTTGCTTTGGTTTTAATAAATATTTTGATGGTGTTTGGGTTGGATTTTGCAACTATGTACTGGGAGGCCAAGGCAGCTGGGAAAAACGCCCCTTCTTCTATTCTCCCTGCCCTTGCCTGATTTTATTTCATTTGTGTCTCATTTATGCCCAAGAGAGTGGACTTCAAAAATTGATCCAGCAAAAAAATAACTGTTGCTTTAGAAAGTCATGAATGCTACACACAAATGCAGAAAGTAATTTGGAGACTCCCTTCCCCCAGTCCCTGAGAGGCCACTCATCCATTGGCTATGTTCCTTCCAGAAGGTTCTGGCCATTCATGAATGTGCAGCAAATATTTACAATAGGCTTATTCAGTGTTAGGGACTTTCAGCTTCCCGGGACAAGTGTAACTTTCTCTCAAGTTCTGATGGAGGAGAAAATCAGGGAGGGCTTCCTGCAAGAGGTGCTGCTTAAGCTAGGAGCTATAGGACAAGTAGGAGTTAACTGGAAGAGGAGCCTTACTAAGGCACTGGAGGGAGCAGGGCACTGCAGACCTGAGAAACTCCTGTAGTGGGGAGGGATGGGGTCTTGGACTTAATTCAGGGTCTTGAGCCTAAGATGCTAATGTCATACATACCCTATTTTATATCAGAGGCTTCAAAAAGTCCACGGAAATTTTCCATGAGTTTTTTTTTTGAAGACTCTTGGTATTGTTAAAAACTCCCTCAATTGCTGTATGAAAGATGGATTGAAGAAGAACTAGAATAGGAGCAGGGAAGGCTAAGAGGATGGGGATGCGAGAGACCTGGAAGGAAGGGGAAGAAAGCAACTTGGAGTCAATTTTGCAAGGACCTGTTGGGCAAACCCTTAGGTGAGCTTTCTCTTAGCTTGTTCTACTTGTAAGTATACTCAATGCAGGAGTCCCTAGGGGGTGCAAAAGTTAAGCACTCAGCCACTAGAGCAGACTGGCGGGTTCAAACTCATCCAAAGATAAGCACCGGCCATCCTAAGGTCACACAGCAGTTCTACTCTTCACGCCTGGGATCACTATGGTCAACAGATGGCAACTAACAACGGATTTATTCTGTGTCTCTACAACTACGCTGAGATGGCTACATTGCTCCAGTTCTGCAGATGGAGATAATGATCACTTTTGGCTTTTACCTAAAAGATGTCCTTACTGTGTATGTTTATAAGGGTCTGGGAACCTGCCCTCTTCCAACCCCCATGGGCACGCGCAGCCCCTCGAGTCTGTCTGCTACTGACTGGAGTGCTCCCAAGCTGACCCAAGAGTGATTTCTAATTCTGGTGACCACCCGCCGGGAGGCTCCAATAACAAAAGTGATGACCAACGCTGCTGGAGTTTTAAATTGTGCAGTTTTTGCTCACACAAAGCACTCATTTTCCTAATAGGAAAAAAAACGGAGGTCCAGGAAAAGATCACAGGGGATTATGGTCTTGGGAATGGGCACTCCAGATTCCGCACCCAAAGGGTGGGGGCCTGGATGGCCAGTCCGGTCAGTGGGCGGAGCCGCGGGGGCGGGGCCTGCGGCATCCGCGCCGGCGCCCCCAAGTCCGCACGGTGGCGTCCAGAGCCCGGAACCGCAACGGATCCTGAGCCGAGCGAGTGGCGTCGCGATGGCGTGCGCGGGGCTGCTCACCGTGTGCCTTCTCCGGCCCCCTGCTCCGGAGCGTCCAAGGCCCCCCGCGCCCGCCCCCGACGCCAGGCCCGCTGGACACGCGCTCTTCCAGGATGTGAGTAGGGATCGGCCCCTGGATTGTTTCTGTCTCTCCAAGTCTCTGCCTCTTTCCCTGTATCTCGCTAGGGCTCTCTGTCTCCTCTTGTCTCCGTCTTTGCGTCTCTCTCTTTGCTTGTCTGTCTCTGTCACTTAGGGCATCGTCTGGGCCCCCAGGTCTCTCTGAGTCTGTCTCACTATCTCTCTCTGGTCCTGCTTTTCTATTTCTTATGTCTCCAGCAGCCCTGTCTCACTGCCTTTGTGCCCCTTGTTCTGTGTCTCTTACTCTATCTCTCTGGTCACTGCCCCTGCTGCCCCCATCTGCAACCCCAGCTCATCTGTGTATCTGGAGGGAGTGGGGACTGTCAGCAGCTGTATGCCAGCCTCAGATTGGGCTGCACTGGGGTGGGGAAGCCTGGGAGCATAGCTGTCTCCCACTCAGGGGCCATGGGTTCCCCAGTTGTTCAGGATTGTCCACAACTATCCATGAGCTCGGTATCCCTCCTATGGGGCATGGTGACCCTGCAACTCCCCACAGGCAGCAGCATGGCCAGCCTCATTCACAGCCCTGAGCCCCTTCCTGTGCTTTATCTCCACTCCAAGCTGGGTCCTGACTCTCTCACTCCCCACTCTCAGAGGTTCGTGCCCCCTCCCCACTGTCCCCAGTGACTCAGCACCTTGATCGCAGTCCTTCTGGATGAAAAGGACTTCTTGCTTCCCAAATACAGAAACCATGACCTGAGGTTACACATGGAGGCAGAGGCATGTTAGGGTGCCACCCTAGGTGTCCTATGTCCAGATATGCCTTTCTCCCCAGTGTCTCCATTTACTTCTGCCAGGCCACACTGGGCTGCTGTGTGACTCTGAGCCAATGGCAAACCTTCTCTGAACTAGGTGCCTGACCCGGGATTAGATTCATCCCTGAATCTCACTCTCCCTGTGAAAGCAGCTGAAAAAGGTGCCATTCAGTCCCAGAAGCCTCATGACGATTCTCTGTCTAGGACTGACCTGGCCTTCCTTATTGTGGCCTGCTGGTCACCCCTTGGCTGGGCTACTCTGGGAGTTTCTGGTCTCTGGGAGAGGCAGAGAATGTTCCTCCCTCTCTGCCTCTGTTGTTGTCCTTCATTTCTGCTTCTCCGTAAATTCAACCTGCCCACTCCTGCCTTTCGCCATTTTTACTACCCATCAAACATGCACGCCTACCCAAGGCCCTCCACTAAGTTGGTCCCTTCCTAGAAGGTTAAGGCCAGGCTGCTTCTGCCTCCTGCTATCGGGGAAAACTGAGGCACCAGCAAAGAAGGCCTGGTCATTGCCCTACTGGTCAGGGTCTTCAACAAGCACCCATGGAAACAGTGCAGAGAGGGTAGGGTCTGGGGGGCATACCAAAGCCACATAACAGAGTTTGGGGTTCAGGTCTGGGACAGGTGCCTAGGATCCTCAGGCTACATCTTGGCCCATCTCCCCAGCCTTCTTAAGGCTGGGGCTGTGCCAGCGGCTGATGCGTCAGAATTCTGGCTGACTTGGTGTGGGAAGTGGGGGTGCAGGGAGCTAGCTGGAGCACCCCCTATGAGGCCCGGCTCCCAAGGAGAAGAGAACAAGCAGTAGGACCCGCTGTGTGCTCTTCCTGTGCCCCCCACCCCCTGCTGGGCAGGGTGTTGCGAACTGGCTGGGCTGGAGGAAAGACCAGGCAGGGGGCAGGCAGGCCATCTGTGGCCCTGTCAGGTTGGGTGGGGGCCACTCACAGCTTCTACCCACACCTCTTTGTTCTCTAGGTTTTCCGAAGAGCAGACAAGAATGGTGAGTGTGGCTTCCTCTGGGTCCCCATGGTGGGGATAGAGGGACATCAGGGAGGCCCAGAGGAAAATCGGGGGAGGTGGAGGCAGGTGGGGGGTGCAGAGGGGATTGGGAAGCACCATCTAGAGTGGAGACAAATCTTGGGGAGGCCTGAATTGGGAGAATCAATCAAGGCATCCTTACCCAAAGAAGTACAGTGTCAGCCAAGTTTGCTAGGATGGCCCTGGGAGGAAATGTGGTTTGGCCTATGAGGGGAGGAAGGCTTATCCTCAGAGTACCTTAGGCAGTGGTAGGCTCTTCCCATCCATGAGCTTGTGTGGTCCTCACAACCATCAGCTCCGCCTAGAGAGATGACACGGTTGCTTGAGGTCACAGCCCTTGAACCCAGGTCATGTGACCCAGGCTCCCTTTGTGAGAGACTGACAGGGGTGGGGTAATGGAGATGAGGTCCTGGGAGGGGGTGCCAGTTTACTTTTCGATATTCTAGAGGGTTTGGTAACTTGCCTTATGAACCAATCATCTACATCCAAGGAGGGGTCTGATGATAGAATTGAACCCAAATAAAGCTGTATCCAGTGTCCAGGGAGTCAGCCCCTCCTTCTCTTGGAAAACAAAGCAGGAACCCATGGGGAGCCCAGCAACAGGTTGCTGCCCATAGCCACACACTGTATCCTGATTGGCCAGTTAAGAATCCGAGCTGAGACAGCCAATCGGCTTGGAGTTCACTCACATCTGGAGTCTTCACCCCATTTTGTGTTTCATGCTCCCTGAGACAGGATCATGTCCCCTACTTCTTGTCCTTTCTGCTTGCATCTCTTCAAGTTGATGGAGCCCCTGTCTGTCCTAACCCACGTGGTCTGGTGATGCTCAGACCCTCCCCCAGCTCTGCTTCCCATCAGCTGCTTATTCAGACCATACTCCCAGTATCTTTGATCACCCAGTTATGTTAGTTTTCTAGAGCTGCTATAATAGAACTATCACAATGGTCTTCACAAACAGAATTTAATTTCCTTCTAGCCTAGTGTAGAAGGCTAGAAGTCTAAATTCAGGGTGCTGGCTTGAGGGAAAGGCTTTCTGTATTGACTCTGAAGGAAGGTCCTTGTCTCCAGCTTGCCTCCTGGTTCCTTGGAGATCTGCATGTGACCTGGCATCGGTCTTCCCCCATCTTGACTTGTTTCTTCTTTTTTATATCTCAGAAGAGATTGACTCAAGATGAGCCCTATACTAATCAAGCCTCATAGACTACAGATCTGGGACCTTTAAAGTCAGCCTGTTCTGGTAATGTCTAACCACATGCGAAGAGGCGTTCAAAAGTTTGTGGGAAATGGAATTAAAAGATAATATAATTTTTCTGTGAACTGTTGAAGCTCCCTTGTCCCTAGGTCCCATAAGGCTTTGTTTTAGTTTTTAAAGGGAAAGCAGCTCTCCTTTTGTTCGTTCTGTTCCTTTAATGATTTTAAAGAAGTACTGAGGGTTACGTGTGTAGCTGCTAACCAAAAGTTTGGTGGTTCAAACTCAGTCACCACTCTGGGGGGGAAAGACATAGTCTGCTTCTGAATATACCAGAGTCTTCGAAACCTTAGGGAACACTTCACCTCTGTCCTAGAGAACCACAGTGAATTGTAATCGACTTGATGGCAAGTTAAAAAAATATATGTTTTTAATGGTTTTAAAGAGTTCTGGTGTGGCGCTGTAGGATAAGCACTGCACAATTAACCACAAGGTTGGCAGTTTAAACTCACCAGCCGCTCCACAGAAACACTGTACTATGAGTCTGAACAGACTTGACAACAACAAAGGCCCCCCAAACCCAGACCCTTGTAGCATTAGACTTCGGGTGGGATACCAGCAGGTAAGGTAGAGGATGTCTCAGGTTTTGTCTGGTGGGCAGGTGGCAGCGGCTGCTCAGGTAACCAGAATATCCAGTGGGGCTGGGCACAGTCTGTTTCCGCCCCCGCCCTCTCAGGCACCTCCATTGCTGCTCCTCCAGTCTCCTCCTCCAGCTCCCGCAGAGCAGTAATAATGAGGACAACTGCAAGTGGCTTCCCATAAGGCTTTAATGTGGTGTTCATACCGTGTCCAAATCACATAACACCGTTGCACAGAACATAGCGTGGACATTAAGTGATGCATATTCGTATAGCCACAGGCTTCAGAACACTTATTTTTAGGGAAGAAGACTCAATCCATAGCATCACTCCAGGGCGCTCAGCCTGCTCACATGCCACCTGTGATTGGGAGCTCCTTTCCTCCTGAGTTAGTCTGTTGCTGTTGACAGACACTTCACTGTCAGGAAGATCTCCCATGCCTGGGATCCTCCAGAGCATGGAGGTTATTCTTCCCCCCGAAAGTGAGCCTGACTCCCTCACTGTGGGACAGTCAGTCGCCATGTCCTCCTGAGTGATGTCTAGACCCTGCCTGCCCCAGGCTGTTCATCCTTCATTTGACAAAACATTTACTGAGTTCCTACCCAATGCCAGGTGCATACTGCCCTGTCCGTTGGATGGGTACTGCTCCCTTCGCTGGGCACCTCTGGTGGGCCTTGCTCTTTTGTTCCTAACAACCAGGTTTCCACAGAGGTCAGAATCCCATCCTACCTTGTTGGGTGCTTGTGACATGCCACAAGGCATTTGGGGGGTCTGGACCTGGTGTAGAGGTGCAGTCAGGAAGCTGGGGTAGTGATCCTGCTCCCTGTCTCCCTCCCCCTCCCCCCAGATGACGGTAAGCTATCATTTGAGGAATTCCAGAATTACTTTGCTGATGGGGTTCTCAGCCCAGGGGAGCTGCGAGAGCTGTTCAGCGGCATCGATGGGCATCCCACTGAGTGAGTGTGGAAGGGGGACTGGCTGAGCTGTGGGTGGGTGAGAGGCCAAGGTGTCCAAACCCCACTGTGTCCACTACTGCCTTGGTTCCTTATTGAGGTCAGGAAGGGAGCGGTGCTGCCAAGGCTTGGTGCCAGATTTACCCGCTCCCCCGTTTCCCAGCTCCATCTTGCCCACCACATTGCTTCTAGCTGGAACCCCAAAATAGATAGACCTGAGTCACCACCCATGGCTCAGCCTCAGGCACTCCTCTTTTCTGCTTCCCAAGGGAACCAGAGGATACTTGGGGACAGCTAGGGCCCTGCCTGCTTCCACCTATGGGAGCACACCGTGCACGAACATACCAATACCTTTCCATGGGGGCTCTCATATCTACATACCTTGGCATGGGCATGCACTCTCCACATGCTTCCTCACATGGGTGCACAGACAGCTGCTCCTCCTCTCTCCCTCCCCGTCCCCAATCTCAGGATAAACTCTGGGCTTTTGGGGTCAGCATTTTCTGAGATTTGGGCTGACTCTTATTAGTTTACAGTTTTCCTGTAGACTGAGAGTCAAATTCCTCATTCTTCAAGGCCTTGGTTAGACAGTCCCTCCTCTAGGAAGCCCTCTCTGACCTACCAAGTAATGCCCATGCCTCGCCCGGACTTCCCCAGACATGGAGTCCTCTTCACAACTCTGACCAACTGTCTGGCCTTTGCCTACATCCAGCTCCCCATAGCCTTCATGCTCTTGGAGGCCACAAGTGAATCTGAGTCTTTGGCCTCAGAGTGTTTGAAGGGGCCAGTGATACCTTCAGTTCTCACCTCCACAGTCCCAGTGCCTCCTGCCCACTGAATAACAGCTTGGACGGAGGCAGAAGTCACCTCCTATTGGGCAAGGACAAGGGGAAATATTGGCTTCAAAGCCCATCTCCCCAGGCCCAAGTCTAAGCGTCTGAAGGACACCTTCTCTTTTCCTTACAGCAACTTGGAGACAGAGAGACTATGTGGTGAGTAGGTCATATGTGCTCTTTTCTCTTGGGACCCCTGGGTGGGGATTAGGTGACTGATCTCCTGATGGGCAGGACTCAGGAGAGGGGGCCTGCTTGGTTTCTGAGTACAGGTTGGACCAGGAATTCCAGGTAACCCGAATCAGGGCAAGTTAGGTAAATGGGTGGAGGGGGGTCCAGGAACCCTTAAACACTTCCTCTGCCCGCAGACTACTTCTCAGAACACCTGGGTGTCTACAGACCCGTGCTGGCTGCACTGGAGTCACTGAACCGAGCCGTGCTTACTGCCATGGACACAACCAAATTGGTGAGTGGAGAGATGGATGAGGAGGTAGGAGGGCCCAAGTGAGGCTCGGGGCTATAGAGCTAAAGTCGCAGGTTCAAGTTCTGACATCCTTAGCCATGCAACTTTACCTGTCAGGGCCTCTGCTTCCCCATCAGTAAAGTGGAGATATTAAATAATAGAATCTGCCTTCATAAATGTGTTGTGACAATGAAATGAAGAAGGCAAGGATTTTTGTGTTGTTCTCTGCTCTATTCCCAGTACCCAGGACTGTACCTGGCACATAGTAGGCATTTAATACCTGCAGCTGCTGTGGCTGTTTTGATTCTCGGCCGGATCTACCTGCTGTGGGTGTCAGCCCGGCACCCAGCACAGAGAGTCTAAGATGGGGGATCTGTGCCCACACACATCCACAGGCTTGTACTGGTATAGAGAGCATAGTGGGAAGGAACCTGGCTTAAGGATATGAGTAGGCAGGTCAGTGTGCACCCATATGTTTGTGAACACGTGTGTACATGTGTGTGTGCAAGCAGAAACAGGACTCCAGGTCCTTGGGTAGTGACTTCAAAAAGACCACAAGCTTTGTGGTCTTTGTGCCTTCTTAACAAAAAATGTCTCCACTTCCCTTTACTCCATAGCTCATAGAAGGGAATGTGAGGGAGGGAAACTTGGGGCAGGCCTGGGATTGCGTCTGACTCCACATTTTAGAGAAGGGGAAACTGAGCCCCCCCCCCCCCCCCAAAGAGTCATCAGTCCCATGAGCAGACAGCTGGGGACAGGGCTTCCTTTTCTGGTGGCTTTCACATGGGATCTAGTGGCTTTTCAAAGGGTCACACCATGGAGTCTGGCACCCAAATGGAACATGAAAGGATTGGCATGTTGCAGGGACGTCCATATCTGTAGCCTGGGCACAAATGGGGCATTGCCTTCATTTTTTGCCATTGAAACAATTGTGACCTTGTGGGGAGCAGCTGGACTTGCCTTTTCTAAACTAGCACTGATTAGGGAGGATTCAAACTGCAGATCAAAGCTGAGGACCCCAGAGGCCCACTGCCTCCCATTGAACCTGAGTGGGCAGGGTCACCACGCCAAGACTGCCAGCGCCAAACTGTTGAGACTCTTTTTTTATCTGGTGCTCCATGTCTTTAGCAGAGCTTCAGCTCCGCCTCAGTGCCTTCTCAAGGCCCCACTTCTCAAGGCCAGTCGAACATGACTCAGTTGAACACTTCGTGCACTAGCTTAGACCCATATTCTTGGTACATGGCCCGGGTCATCCAGCTACATTGGAAGGAGCTCAGAGAGGCCACCATGGAGCCACCTGTCCACACAGCTGTGCCGCGCCCAGGCGTGGCCACCAAACGTGGCCGCAAAGCCCCATAACCGTGCCGCCGGCACTGGGCCTCCAGCTCCAGGTCCAAGCGCTCAGTGAAGCCAGGGAAAAGTGTGGAGCCACCGGCCAGCACCACGGTGTCAGCCAGGCGTTTCCGCAGTGTTGCAGGAATCTTCTGCAGTGCCCGGAAGGCCAGGGCGGGAAGTCCTGGCTCAGTGAGGCCCAGAAGACTCGGCTGGAAGATGGGCTCAGGGCAGCGGAAGCGCTCGCTGCTGAGGTGGATCGAGCGGCCGTTGCCTATGAAGAAGCTGGCATGCTGATGGCAGGCAGGGTTCCGGAGGTCACGCTCGAAGTCCAGCGACACATAGCAGTAGCGCTTCTTGAGCTGTGTGATGGCCTTGCGAGGCAAGGTCTGCAGCCGGAGATCCGGGCACGCTGCTTCTAGTAGGTCCCGCAGGTAGCGAGACAGAGTGGTACCTGCCACGTCTAGTCGGAAGGTGGCCTCCTGCCATGAGTGGCCCGCGTAGATGGGTGTGGCGTGACACACGCCCGCGCCGGCCTCCACGGCCAGCCCGCTTAGTGCGCCTGTGGAGCAGAGCGCCAATAACGCGGTACTGGCCAAGTGGCACGCAGGCACTGCCAGGGTCTCGAATAGCAACTCGGTCACCTTCTCACGGCTCGCGGGCGGGGCCGACGGCGAGTCGCTCACCAGCACGGGCCACTGTTCTGGGTACACTCGCAGGCCGCCTACCAGCAGGCGCTCCCACAGCCCTTCCAGCGCTTCCCAGTCCACCACCACACCGTGCTTGATGGGGTGCGCCCGCGCCACACCGCCCGCCAGTTCGCAGCCCGGCGTGCCGGGCAGCACAGGTCGGTCCCAGCTGGGCACCAGACTGGAGCTCTTCAGCATCAGGCGCGGCTGGTGCTCGCCCGCGAAACCCGCCTTGGTGAAGCCTGATCCCTGGTCCACTACCAACGCGATGCGGCCCAACATGGCCGGCCCGCGGCTTCCCGACTCGGTCGCCACCTTCGGGACCTGCCCCACCCGGCTGCAGAGGTTGCAACTTCCTTGGGGCGAGGTTGGGCTCCGCCTTCTCTGTGGGCGGCTGGTGAGACTAATAAGCCTTTTAAGACTTTGGCTCCACCCTCTGGCGTGAGGCCCCGCTCCTCCTGCACCTTGTCTGCCAGACTCTCCGCTTTCGCTGGTTTAGCTAAAGATTCCACTTTTCAGCTCTTGGCTCGGCCTCCTGGGTCTAAGTACCTTCTTTTCTGGGCTGGATGAAGTCGTCTCTTTCAGTCTGGACTCCGCCCTCTGATCCTGAGGTTCCACCTCTTACTACTTCTGGCTGGCCAAAGCTTTTCAGCTCTTAGCTCCGCTCCAGAACCTGAAGCCCCGCCTCTGGATGAAGTGTTAGTCTCTTCGTTTCTTGTCCTCTGGTTCAAGACTCCATCTGCTATGCTCTTGTGCCACTCTCTCAGGACTCGCCTCGGTTGTGTGGTCCTGCCCTCGCAGCCTCTGCTGAGGTGGATGATGAGAGGAACAGACAGAATCCTTTTAGATATTTGAGAGGCTACCAGGAGCAGCAGAACCCTGGAAATGAATGGGCCTGCCTGTGGCAATGTCTTCTATACATACATAACCCCTTGGAGACTCCGGAGTCTATTCCAGCCCTTGAGCCCCAGGTGGTTTCCTGGCACCTTTCACTTGGGCTTGGCTGAAGTAGTTCTTGACTGTGGAGGTAGGAGGGATAACCAGAGAAGGAAGAAAAGAACTTGGATTGGACTCATTGTGACCTCAGTCATCAGCACCAGCTTCCACAGCCACCTCCCCCAAGAAAGCTCCCGGGACCCATCCTTTTTCATGCCTTTTTCATGTCACAGGGTCAACGGCAGTGATTGTGGCATCCAAGGGTCTGGCTTCAGCTGCCCAGCAAACCCAATCCAATTCCTCCTCCAAACCACTTCAGGTCACCTGATGTGCTGCTCACTCCCTCTTATTGAAGAGACTGGAGATCCACAGCCACTCTGAGAAGTTGTGTGCCCTCGGCCCTGAGGTCCAGACAGAGCACATCGATTTCACCCTCACAGCTTCCATGTGTGGACTCAGTGGGCTTGGGTTTGTGACTCAGTTCTGAAGCTAACAGTGCCACCCTGGCCGAGGGTTCTTATTGCACTGGTGGGTGGTAATAAGCCTTACACACAGAAAAGAAGCAACTTAGGACAATTTCAGTTGCAAGTAAAGACCTTCTTGGGTGAACTTAAACGAAAATAAGCTTATTTACAATGATTTTGTATGTCTTATAGATATAGCTCTGGTAGCATAGTGGTTATGAATCGGGCTGCTAACCTCAAGGTCGGCAGTTCGAAACTATGAGCCATCCCATGGGTGAAAGATGAGGCTTTCTGCTCCTATAAAGATGTACAGCCTCGGGAATCCTGTGCAGGATCACTATGAGTCGGAGCCAACTCCATGGTACTTAACAACAACAACATAGATACTGGGAGTCTTGGAGTGGTGCTGTGTGTTAATGCATTGGTGAGCAGCAGTTCAAGCTCACTAGCCACTCCTTGGAAACCCTACACAGGGTTGCTATGCGTCAGAGTCGACTCGAAGGTACTTAACAATAACAACATAGATGCTAAGGGCAAAAGTGAAGTCAAATCTCAGGAACAGACCAGAACCAGAACCAGGGTCTGATCACAGGGACTGTAGGGCACCCAGGATGTGCACTGTTTCTGTACATAGGTAGACAGAGATGAGACAGAAATAGGCTGGCTCAAGCCTGTGGATGTTCATGTAGAAAACATGGCCTCTTAGAGCTTCTGACTTTCAGATTCAAAGAAGGGGCTGGTTGGGCCAGCTTGGGAAAGATGAGATGAATTCTACCACCTGCAGCCTGATCCAGATGATGTGGGAGGACTGTCATGAAGGGCCATTTGCAGGAGAGGCTGGGCTTGTGGTTATAGTGAGCCAGGACCTTAACCTCTGCTGCCTTTCTCCCCAAAGGTGTCTGATTGTCAGCCTGAGGCTGGGTACCAATGTACAGTGGGGAGGAAAGCTGCAGGTTTGGCAGGCTGGGGCTGCACTAGCGTCTAGAGCCAGCTTTGAGACCTAGGAGAGTGTGGAGAGACTGCTGGGTCCTCCCCACAGAAAGCAGGCCAAGAATCACGTGGGGTGACCCCAAGTGTCAATATGGCCAGATCAAAGGTTGAATAAGGCAGGCACTGAGAGGTCCTAGGGAAGACTGAGGCTGGGGACTAGGTTTTTTTCTGATGGTGATGGGACGCCAGTGGAGGCTTATGAGCAGGGGGATGACCTGCCTTGACCAAATAAGTGGTTCGAAAGGAAGCTTTATCTGCAGTGTGGGGGAGAAGATAGCACAGGATAGGTTGGAAGACAAGTGCTGAATCTGGGGTTTGGCGCTTGGGGACGACCAACAGAGTGGAGTAGAATTGGGCGGTGGGATCCCAGGGACTCGGACCTTTTCTCTGGTGCCTTGTCACAGGCAGAGTGTCCGGCTTGACCGCAGCTGACAGCCCCTCCACAGAATGGTGGCTGTTTGTCTGGGCTTCCTCCCTCAGCGGAAAGTAATTTTGGAACGTTTGGAACCCTTCGAAATGGCCAACCTTATGCTGGGAGTTGAGTCCTGATGTGGCGCCATGGGTTAATGGGTTAATGCACCAGACTGCGAAGTCAGTTTGAACTGCAAGGTTGGTGGTTCAAGCTCACCAGTGCTCCTTGGAAACTCTATACAGTGTCGCTATGGGTCGGTCGGAACCGCCTCGACAGCACTTAACAACAATATGCTTGGAGCAGCACTTCGCCCAGTGTGGTCTGCATACCTTCAAGAATCTGACCAGCCTGTGGTGAGGGAAGACCAAAGACAGTGGAGGGGGCACTGTGGTTTGAGTGTTCCCTGCTCCTTTCGGGTGAGGGGTTCTGACCCTTGAGTCACAAGTAAGGGAGGCAGTAAAGACGACCCTGGCTCCAAATTATTCATGTTACTTTGCCTTCAGAGCGTCCAGTTCATCCCTGTCTCGCTCTGGGCCTCAGTATCACTCCTACCTTCCCGCCTCGGCACCCCGACGCCTCGGACAGAGCTAGCAGGCGCCAAGGTTGTTATGCGCTCTTTATTGTGCGGGGCCGGCAGGGTGCTCAGGGCCGCCGATGTGGGCCGCGGCGCCTCTTGCGCGGCTGCTCCTCTGCCCAGTCGTCCTGGCTTTCGCTCAGCAGGCGCGTATACAGCCGCTGCCAACTCTGCTCGGCGTTGGTTGCGTTGCCGGAGCCAGTGCTGGCCCCAGCTCCGCCCCCAGCTGTGCGGCGCCCCTCCCCCTGCAGCCGCGTGTCCTGCAGCAGCAGCAAAAGCAGGATCTTTTTCATCTCCCGGGCACGCGCTCCCTCGCGCCGCTCCCCGCTGTCGCCGGCTCCTCGCAGCATGGGCGGCGGCACTGGGCTGCCCCTCGGAGGGTGGGTCGCGTCCTCCGCGGACTTCCTGGCCCGCGCACCGGGGTCTGCTGTTGCCTCAGCTCGCGGCTGCCGCTTGTCCAGGGAAACAATCACGATCTTGGTCTAGGGAGGATGGCGTTGTTAACGGGAAAGAGCACGCCCGGGGAGACCCACACCACCCTTCCATGTTCCTGAGAACCCACCGTTTCAGGTCCCACAGAAGCACACCTTCCCTGCTTGGCGCCATCCTGTTCTGTCACTCCAGATCTACTTCCTGAAACCCCTTTCCATCCATGTTTATGGGATTCCCCCCTACCTACCAGCCTAGATGCCAGGGACCCTCACCCACCCCAGCCAGCCGAGTGTTCAGGACCACCTGAAGAGGGGGAATGAGGGAGTAAGAGAATTCCCAGTGGGACCAACTAGGGCTAGGATAATCTCTTGCCCACCATTCTGGGCTTCCAAGGCTTGTCCTGCTCCTGGCTTCAGCGATCCCTGCCTTCCCTTCTGGGCTTTTAGGACTCCCATTCACACTCGTGGACTCTTGCAACACTCACTTGATAAGGATCCTGACCCCTTTCAAGATCCTAGGTTTCTGCCCATAAGGTCTGCCTTTCTATAGCATTCCTTCCTGCTCACTTGTCCAGATTCCCCTTCATGCCCACTGTCCACTTGGCACTTACGATTGATTTCTTCTTCTTCGAGTAGTTGCTGGAAAAGTCCTGCTTCTGCCAGGCCGTATCCACGTCTAGTGGCTTCTCCTTGGCCTGTTTGGGCATTTTGGTCCTCTTGTGGCAACTGATGTTTCCCATGGCAGGGCCAGTCACCACTGTGGGCCACAGCCCATGCTACGTCTGACCTACCCTCTATCCAAGCCCCTCTGACTCAGCCCTGCCCTAGGGATGCCACATTGTGACTTCATTGAGTTCAGGTTCTGATTGCCTCCTCCCGGAACCCACAGGTGAATCTCATCTCTATTTGCTGTGTTTGTTACATTGGGCCTAGTGAACACAAACAAGGTGATATTTAGTGGTGAGCAGAGATTTGAATCCTGGCTCTGCCACTTACTATGTGATTTGGACCAATGTAATGAACCTTAAGGCATCTCTCTTCTGTGCAAATGGGGTCAGTGTGGTTCCAATAAGTTCTCAGGGGGATTAAATGAGATTCTGCTTCAACTAGTGCCTGGCACAGAGTGGGTAATTATTGGGCTGCAACCATCAGAAACTGATCAATCATCATGAGTGCCAAAAAAGGGAATTTACTGGAAGGATTTCAGGGAGCTCAGAGCATGGCCAGAAAGGGCCAGGTTTGAAGGCAGGATAGAAACCCCAGTTGTCCCCTGTGTCCCTGCTTCCCACCTCACAAGCCTGGCCCAGGAGGACTTATCTAATGGCTCAGTGGAAGCAGGTCACAGGCAGGAGATGAAGTCATTGATACATGGTGTCTCTGGGACCCCCTTGTTGAGACTTCATCTCAGGGTGTGTGGTGGTGGGGGTGGTGGGGAGGGAGGTTTGAGGTCACTCTCAGGCAATCTCGATTTCTGGAGGTACAAATGGGTGAGTTCTTAGTTACTGTTATGCTTGACAAAAATAATAATGACAATTCTTGTGTTGAGAACAGATGTGCCAGGCATTGGTCTGAGTCCTGGGATTAGCTCATTGGAGCCTCTCAGCAGCTCAGTGAGCTAGTATCATGACCATTTTGTGCATGAGGAAACTGAGGCACAGGACGTTGAGGGAGTTAGAGGAGCCTGGTGATGCCGGTTGGAGTGAATGCTGGTGTTTCTGTGTGTAAGGACAGTGACTCAGCTGTCCTCTATCTATAGCAGCTAGTGCAAGATGCTCAATCCATGGTGCCTGACTGGATGACTAAACACACAGCTGTGGGTTTGAGGTGACCTGGTGGAAATGACACTATCATTTGCCTTGTGTGTCACAGTTGACCCTTGGAAACCCTATAACCTGCCCCTCACCCCAAGCCTAGGTGTGCCCTGCGACTCCGGGTTGTTCTGAAAATGGTGGTCCTGAGAAGATAGGGGTCTGAGGCACTCAGAGAAGGCAGGCATCCCAGTTACCAAATGCTGCCTTTGAGCTGGGCCCACATCTCCCAGGATAGGGCCAGGCTAAGAACAGGAGAGGTCAGGGTCCTCCCCTTCCTCTCTGTCCCCCAATCCTGCTTGTACCAGATTCTCATCCCCTCTGCTCTTGACATGGACAAGGAGGTGGGGGAACAGCTGGCACCAGGGCCTCCTCCCATCGTGAGCCCCATGACCCCAGACACCCAGCTGCCTGTCCTTCCTGGAGTCACTGAAATATCTGCCCTGGTGTGGCAATGTGGATGTACCTCTTCTGCTCCCAGGAGTATGAAGGGGCCTCCAAGGTAGACCAGTTTGTGACTCGCTTCCTGATGCGGGAGACGGTGAGCCAGCTACAAGCCCTGCAGAACTCACTGGAAGGGGCATCAGATATCCTGGAGGCACAGGCCTGTGGCCTGAGGTATGTGAGGTACCCCCCTCCCACCATCAACCTCAGGGTGCAGACGAATATGCCCATCGTCCGCACATTCCAAGTCCCTCAGCCTTTGTCATATTCTATACCTTCAGCGTCCTGAAGCCCACATTCTGAATATCTTAGAGGCCAGTCCTGGGGCCCCAGTCCTTGACCCCATGGGTTTGGGGGCAATGAGCTAACCCTGTTTCCCCTAGGCTGGATGAAGAGAAGGCGGAGGTGCTGAGCAGGCCGCGTGGCAGCCGCAGGGCAGGGCGTAGGGCCCCAAGGAGCGTCAGGCGGTCACCCACCTGGTCCAGCCCCTCTGACCCAGGTGCAGTGTGTGTGGATCGGGAGGCACTGCACCCCCTTGCTCCTTGTGCCCCCTCCTCTATTCTTCCCTCAACTTATCCTGATTCCTGACTGCCTCCCCCCCCCCCCCCCCCCCATGCACTCCCACTCCCAGGGTGCATCTCAGAGGCTGAGATGCAGTGGCGGTTCCAAGTCAATCGGCTCCAAGAGCTCATCGACCAACTGGAGTGCAAGGTGTGTGGCTGTGTGGTGGGTGCCCTGCAGCTGGGCTCTAAGCAGGCATGAGTCAGGGGCCTGGCCCATACTCTGTGTCCCTCCTAGGCCCCCCGGCTGGAGCCCCTGCATGAAGAGGAGCTGGACAATCGGTCAGACTCAGTGAGTCCAGGAGGGACAGGCAGCTGGGTGTCTGGGGCATGGGGTTCATGAAGGGAGGAGGCCCTGGTGCCAGCTGCTCCCCCAGTTCCTGAATTGTGCACATACCCCACCCTACCCTCCGGCTGGGCTTGGCCACTCTCATTCGGCCTCCACGGCCTCCACTCTGTGCTCACTCAGGCCTCAGGACTTGGCAGGTAGGTGCCATATCCTGGTCCTTGCTCTGGGACCCTACATAAATTACTGCCCCTCTCTGTCATCAAAGAACCCTGGTGTCACAGTGTGTTAAGCCCTAGCTGCTAACTGAAAATTCTGGGAAGGCCGAAGCAGTCTGTTTTGAGTTGGAATCAACATGGCAGTGGGTTTCGTGGTTTTTTTGTTTTCTTTTCTTTCCTCTGGTATCACTGTCCCCTGTTTGCATTTATGAAAGGCCGAACTGGGGCAGTGTGGACGAAAACTTGGAGGGGGCAGGTGGCGGTGGTGGCAGTGCAGCAGACAGGGTCCAGTGACTGAGCTATGGCACTGACCTTGGAGAGGCGGACAGGAGAATGGAGTCAGGGACGCTGGGGGGGGGGGCAGGTCAGGAGCCCAACCCCAGGGAGTCCCTAGGGTGCAGGCTGCTGCAGGAGGAAGGAGACCTGCCCCCATCGCCTGTTCTGCCTCTCTTGCCAGCACATCTTCATGGCCCAGAGGCAGGTTCAGGTGGCAGACGCAGCCCTTCAAGACTTCCACCGTGCCCTGCGCTGCTATGTGGATTTCACAGGTGCCCAGAGCCAGTGCCTACAGTGAGTCCCCAGGCTGCTGAGCAGGAAGGAATTGGGGTGGTATCTTGGCAGCATGGGGTTGAGGCCATCTCTCTGGTCTCACAGTGTGTCTACACAGAAGAGGCTGGACAATACCTCCTTCACCCTGTACGAGTTCTGGCAGGACGAGGCCTCTTGGAAAAGGTATGAGTACTGCTGGAACAGCCGGTGTTTATGAGCGGGCCCTGGAAGCAGGCAGGTCTGGGTTCAAATTCTACTGCTTCCACTCACTAGCTATGTGACCTCAGGTGAGTTACCTAATTTCTCTGAGCCCCTTCTGTCCTCCTTTCCAAAATGGGGGTGATAACAGTTTCTCCCAGGAGCCCTGGTAACGTAGTGGATTGCGAGCTGGACTGCTAACCACAAGGTCAGCAGTTCAAATCTACCAGTCGCTCCACAGGAGAAAGATGGAGCTTTCTGCTCTCCTAAAGATTTACAGCTTTGAATACCCTATACAGGGTCACTATGAGTTGGAACTGACGACCGCACACAATCATCACCAGCAATTCCTCCTCTGGGCTTAATGAGATGATGTGTAACGATCTGACTGAACACAGTGCCAGGTACCCAGTAGGCACCCCATAAATGTTCCTGTTGCCATGTATGTTGTGCCTCTACCAAGCTCTGTGAGTGTCATTTTATTGATTTCTCAAACGATTGTCCTCATTTCACAGAGGAGGAAGCTGAGGCTCAGAGTCAGGCTGAGGAAGGACATATCTGAATGAAGACAGTGGGACTATGTGGGAGTGGGACTATGTGGGAGTGGGGAGGTCTCCACACAGTCCTGATCTCAGTCCCTGAATCTCTAACCCTCCCCAGGCACCAACAGTCAGCCTGCAGCAAGACCTTCCAGCGCATCCTTATTGATCACCTGCAGGCCCCGGACACCCTCATTACTGTGTTCTTCCCAGGTGCGCTGTAGGACCCCCCCACCCCTACCCCACGCCACACCAGTCCTGGGAACCGGCTGGGGCAGTGGACCTGTGCTCACTCCTGGCCCCCCAACTTCTGATCCACAGCCTCCTGGTGGATTATGAATAACGGAGTCTGACTGATCAAACCGAGGACCCCAGGGCCCTGCTTGACCCTCTCCTAGAGCTTTCTGGACTGAGGCCTGAAAGACAAGACCACAGACCCCATCTCCTCTAGACCAGCTGGTGGAGGTCGTTCAGCTCAGGAGTCAAGGACTGGGCTGCTTGCTTTCTGTTTCCTTTTCTGTATTGTGTCACTTGTAGCTCTGACCTTGAGGCATTACTGCCTCGTCCTGGTCTCAGGCTTAGGCGCTGCCCCTGCCTTGTTGCTGTGTTAGGACAGATCCCTTCTCTCTCTGGGTCTCAGTCCATCTGGTTGTCAGTGGGCACCTGGCTTTCTTCCTGATGTCTTGGGGCCAGGCTATGTTCCTCCCCAGCCAGTGGCTGATGCTCAGGGACTTATCCTCCCTCCAGGCCTGACCCTTGAGACAGGACTAGATTAGGCTGGACCTGGGATTCCTATCACCACCCCATTACCCCCCACCCCCACCCCACCCCAGGCCAGCAGCTCCAGGATATTCCAGCACCATGACTGGACCACTGGACCCTCCTGGGTTGCTTTGCATGTCATTTCCATAAATTTGCATGCTTGCACCCCACCCACACTCAGGGTACTATAGGAAGTCCAAGGGTGACCTTGCCAAGTAGCAATAATTTGGACCCAGAGTCATCTGCTCCCCAGAGACGTCTGACCCCCAGCTCGAGACCCAGTGCAGAGGCAATAAAGGCCGTGGCAATCTCTGGCTGGTGTTGCCTTCTCTGTCTTCCTCAGCAGGAAGGCTGCCATGCTGTGGGACCAGGAACTCAAGCCAGAAAACCTTTCTTTACTGTTTCTCTCGAGCTCTCCTGCTGGCAGAGAGTAGAACTTCACCCTGGCGGATCTTGTTTTCAGGGTCCTCTCAGCCTCACAAACCCTAGCTCTGAGGTCTTGTCGGGATAAGGGACATGGTCTCTCTGCTGGGTTGTATCTTCACTGTGTCAGCCCTCAGGACAGACCCGTCCTTCCCCCACCAAGTGCCCTCCCAGCACCCCAAGCATTCATCAGGGGTGATACATAGGGGTGGGGGGCCTGGGAAACTGGGCCTTACACCCAAGACAGCAGATTCCTGTGAGAAGACCTGTTCCCTTCCTCAGACACTTCCAGTGGTTTTACCAATCATTGTGCTAGGGAGAAGGAGCCTGCTGTGTTTAAATGCTCACGTGCCAACTGAAAAGTCAGTGGTTCAAACCCCCCAGCTGCTCCCTTCAAGATGACAGCCTCGGAAACCCCGTGGAGTGGGAATCCATTAGATGGCAGCAGGGTTTATGAGTAGTTGGGAGGAGCTGGGATGTGGAAGGGAGGTGACCAAGGAGGACCTGGGCCCTAAAGGGAGGCACGGCCTGACCGGGGCCTCACAGAGCCCAGCATGACATTTAACCTAGCCTGGGGGTGGGGTGGGGGTAGTAGTTCGGGCAGATCAGTGTGTGTGGGCTCTGAGGGAGAGGAGAGCCTGCCTGCCCACCCAGTGGGGCTGAGGTGGAGGCAGAGGCTAAGGCAAAGACAGAGCAGACCAAGGTGAAGCTAGGGCCTCAAAGGGATTTCATCCTGAGAAAGCCCTGGTAGGTTCTAAGCTGGGGGTGGCTGGACAGTTTTACACTGACAGTGTAGGGTCTGGCTGGACCCTGGGGACTTGGCCAGGAAGATAGCTGAGATGGCGCCAGACTCTAGGCTGGGCCTGCCTAGGAACTCCAGTGCCCTGCCCCATTACCCCACAGGAGACAGACTGTCCACAGAGCTGCGGCTATGCTATCCCGGATGTGACACCCTGGCTTACTCAAAAGTGCTGCAGGCATCTTAAGGAGGGCTGTTCCCTCAGCTGCAGTTTCTGTGTCTCAGTTTGTCTGGAACTAAAGAATCCTCTGAAAACAATGGCAGCAACAAACCCTGAACAGGAAGCTTCCTTGTCATCCTTGCGCAAAGGGGCTGAAATCTCCCAGCTGAGGTTTTCCTAAACCAACCTGGGAAGGATCTGCGAAAAGGCAACAGAAAAAGGATGTCCTGGGTGCCTGGGGTGCTGGGAGGGCACTGAGGTGGGGGACGGAGGTGAATGTCCTGTGGGCTGGGGCAGGCCTCTTGGAGGAAGGGGTTAGGTTTGAACTGGGAACAATGAGTTTGGGTCACCAGACAAGCAGAGTACTAAGGACAAAGGGGGCCAAAGGGAACCATGGGGACTGGAGGTGAGCTTGGAGTCCAGGCCAGTGGGAGCTGATACTCTGTCTTGTAGGTAATGGGGAATCAGGAGGGGGCCTGATTGGGGAATGGTGTGGGGGCTGGGGCCGGGGCTGTGAGGTTATAGGGGGAATCCTGGAGCCTTTATTTTTTTTTTTTCAAGAAAGAAATTAAATATCTAAATAAATGGAAAAAGATATCCTGTGTTCATGAACCAGAAGGCAATATAGTTAAGATGTTATCTTAGTTAGCTATTGCTGCTATAACAAATAATACAAGTGGATAATTTCAACAAACAGAAATTTCTTCTCTTACAGTTTAGATGGATGCTTTTGTCTGCTGCTGTTTGTAAGCCCACCTTCATTTCCTTCTCTCCTTCCCCACTGGTCCCTGAGGACCCCAGGTCAGGGCTGGCAGATTGGTACCTTCCTCACTGGCGATCTTGATTCCACTCTTGTAGCCTCAAACCATCCATTCCCCAGAAGGGTGGCTGGACCTCATTTCCAGTCCGGACAGCCTCACTCTCCCTAAACGTACTCCAGCTGAACTCTGGCAGACCTCCCTGACACTTATTCTTTCCCAGCCGTGTGTGTCCACTACGGAAATGACAAAGCCATCAGGCCAGCGGCGCCACCTTTCCTAATCCTTACCCTTGATGACCTGCTTGATGCTCTTCAACTAATTCAGCAGCACTTGGGCACTTGCTTTGTGGCAGGTGCTGGCAATGGTGAAAGTCAAAGGCATGTGGAGTCTTGAAGCCAGGAGAGCCCTGGGCTCCTGCCGACATCTGCCAGCCCTACCCTTTAGCCCACTCACTGCACCTGCCAAGCTGCCGGCTCACCTTCCTCACACCTGTGCTTGTGACTCACCTGTGCATACTCAAACCTGTCCTGGGGACTGGCCCAATGCCAGTCCAGGAGCTGAGGAGACAGTGGCAATCTGTGATGGCTGCCATGGTCCCTGAATACTTAGAACATTGTTCCCTGAACTTTGATGGAAATGGAGGGACTGAGAAATCAGCGAGGCTCCAATTGGATGGAGGCTTCTCAAAACAAATACTACTGGAGCAAGACACCAGGCTCTATGCAGGGTGCTGGGGACAAAGAGGAATCCTCAAATCCCAGCCAGGCAGGGCAGCAAAACATGTTCTGATGGCAACCACAGGGGCTTTCCATGCTAAGGACAATATGCAAATGATAACATTTTACCCTCAGAATGCCAAAGGGGAAGGCATCCTTGGTTGGTAGTTGCTGTCTGTTGACTCGGACCCGGGGTGATCCCATGTGTGTAGGGTAGAAGTGCTCTATAAGGTTTTGAAGGCTGAGATCCTCCAGAAGGAGATCACCAGACTTGTCATCCGGGGCACCTAAGTGGGTGTAAACCTTCAACCCTTGGAGCTAGTAGTCCAACCATTTGCACCACCGGTGATCTGTGGCATCATTCATACCCCCAATTTACAGTTGAAGAAACGCCTGGTTCCGCGTCAGCCCACTGGGATCAGTTCCCAGCACTGAGAGTTACTTGCCATCACGTGACCAGCACCGAGGGTGTGCCCTCGGCAGGAGTCACCACCGGTCCAGGGCTGGAGGAGGCAGTGGCTCTATAACAAAGGGAGGAGTGCTATCAGGCCCTGAGGCCTATAGGATGACAAAAGAGCCATAGAGGAAGTGGGTCCGGTGTGGGCCTCAAAGGGTAGGGACTGAGTCCTCATCGTTACTGGAATTCCCTGGGAGACACCCAGAGAACGTTAGCTGAGCTCATGGAGTAGAAGGCAGTTTCAGGTAAGGTTGGTGCAAGAAGGTGGGCAAAAATTGCTGGGGGGTGGTGCACCTTTGATAGAAATCTAGAGGCGGAGGCTGCAGGTCTGACGTCGCCCACAAGAGGGCGCCCAGCACTAGCCAATGAGACTCGGTGAGTGGGTGTTGCAAGTTTTTCCAACCTGGAGGGCAGGAGGAAGACCGAGAAGGCGATTCACACTTCTGAAATACCAGCAGTCCAAAACAAGCACAGGCGGGAAAGGTGAGTTTCGGTAGACACATGTTGGCACATCTTGAGATTATATCATATCAGAACAATTATGTCCCTTTAAACAGACAAAAGAATCAATAGGCTCCTTGGTAAAATATGCAAGGCCTCGTCCTCCCATTCTGTCCTTCAGAAAGAACAATGATCAAATTTTCCATCTTGACTACGTTGCAGAATAGTCTGTTTTATGAATTTTCTTTCCAGATTCATCTAATCTGCTGTAAGGGTCCCTGAATGTTTATTTCAATGTCAGTTTCAGAATTACGTATTTTAAAATTTGCTTACGCAGTTTTAGACTCTTTTTGCTCATTGTTTCAGAATAATCTTTGGAGGTTTCCTGCCATAACTTTACATTCTGCCGCTGTTCACTTCAGCCTCTGAAGTCCCAGAGGTCTCAATCAATTACTTTTTTTTTTTTTTTTTAATTTAAGGTTTTTATTGTGGATTGAGTGAAAGTTTACAGGGCATATCATCAGTTTTACATTCAACAAATCATACACCTTGTTTCATTACAATGATTATAATCCCCTCCATGTGCCATCAGTTAACAGTATTTCTCTATATTCACTTTAGCTTTTTAAAAACAAACAAAGCCCACTCAACAACAAACAAAAAAAGCCCACTCAGGTATATATAATAATTTACATCTCCAAAGGGTACATTCTGCAAGTCTGCCTCCTGGCCACCAGCTCTTAGTCCTTCTCTTCTTAACGCCATGAATCTAGAGTCCTCAACTGCTCCCCCTCTCCACGCCCCCATCTCTGCCTCCATCTTTGGCGCTGCTGC